ACTACTACTACTACTGCGACTGCTGCTACTACGACTACTACTACCGCTGTTTATTAGTATTGCTGTTATTCTTATTATTATCATCACCACCACTCGCTACTATTATTGTTATTCTTATTGTTCTAATTTGTTATGATTATCATGAATAATACTACGATTGATAAAGGTCATTATGAATACACCTGTTGCATTTCTTACTGTCAGTCTTGTCATTGCTAGAATAGGTAAGATTAGCCGTTGTCATTGCTATTGTTCGTATTGTGATTATTGCAACCGTGACGATGTTTTTGTTCATTGTCGTGGGGTGTGTCTTGAAGCTGCCTTTATACCGTAAACAACAACTTGCTGCCAGTACCAGTGCATGTGTGGTCATTTGGTCCTTACTGGAGTTGCTCTTATTGTTGTTTTCTTGTTTTCGATTTTTAGTGCAGTGTTGTGTTGGTGTGTAAAGGATTCGACCGGAACGAAGGGCTCAGTGCAAGTGCAATCTTGAGGAGCTGCCTTGGGAATGTTCTGTTTCGACGCACATCTCGAGAAGTGTACCAAAACAAACCCTGGGACGGCACGGATGGGCCTTGGCATGTAATAAAGGGGCCTAAATAATTAGCTATGTTATTTTGGGGGCTCCTTATTATAATTGTAGTATAAATATACCCCAAAACCCCATTCTCATTATTCTCATTATTATTATTATTATTATTTGTATTATTATTAAGGCCCCTACATGATTAGGTTTGGGGTTGCCCCTTAAAGCCCTAAGTGGTTCGGGCTGAGGATCAGGACTTGGTCGAGGCGTCCCGAGCCGAACAGCGCTACAAGAAGGCTCCCGGTTGAGGGTTTCGGCTTTAGGATCTAAAGGGTCTAGGGTTTATAGGGTTTCTAGGGTTTCTAGGGTTTATAGGGTTTAGGGTTTAGGGCTTAGGGTTTAGGATCTACGGGTTTAGGGCTTTGGGTTTCGGCTTTAGGGTTTAGAGTTTAGAGTTAGGGCTTTTAACCACGCGTGGCATTGAAATTAGGGTTCGGGTTTAGGGTAAGGGCTTTGAGCATGCAGGGCTCAGGGTTTGGGGTTGAGGGTTCGGGGCTGAGTGCGTTGAGGTTGAGGCTGTAGCATTTTTTAGGGTTAAGGGCCCACCGCTGCCGAGAGCACCAGTCCAACAACACTAAACTTCCCGATCCGGTGGTTTGTTCCTAAGACCTCAGCGACGCTTCAGTGCAGAGCATGCACATGCGCGTGTTGAGACGCTCCCACCTCGAGTGGCATCAGTTGGGGTTCTGTGCATTTAGGTTGAAGGTTTAGGGTACGACCCTAAACCCTGAAACCCTAAACCCCTAAACCCTAAACCCTTCATCCTGAACTTAAACCCCTAAACCCAAAACCCTAAACCCTTCATCCTAAACCCTAAAGCCCTAAACCCCTAAACCCTGCCTCCTAAACCCTAAACCCCCTAAACCCCAAACCCTTCATCCTAAACCCTAAACCCGTCACCCTTCATCCCAAGCCCTAAACCCCTCAACCCCAAGCCCAGCTTCGGGTTCGGGCTTCGGACGCTTGGCTTCGGAGGCTTTCGGTGTTTCCGGGTGTGGATGCCTGAAGCCCTGAGGCCTTGAGGGTCTCCCTCTATATTGCACACACAGCCACCCTTGAAAATTTAGGGTTTAGGGTCTAGGGTCCAGGGGTTTAGGGTTTAGGGTCTAGGGTTTAGGGTTTGGGTTTAGGGTTTTGGGTTTAGGGTCCCTCAACCCGGTAACCCCTCAACCCGGAACTCTAAACCCTGATCATGCCATTTCAGAGACGCCTCTCTGGACTCTCCCAAATCGGATCGTGATAAGCCCGAACCCTGCTGCGAAGGCGCGCCGCGAGATCGAGGAACTGGAGAGGTATCTCTGGCATTATGACAGACAAAGGATACTATAAGGGGTTTCTGTAAGGGCTACCAATCATGACTGCAATGGTTATTATGAGGCATACTACAGGGGCGATGGATGTTCGGTGCCTGGGTACCATGGCTTGCGAGGAGTATGAAATATATGGGGCCTTAATAATTAGAATAGGGTTTGGGGGTATACTATATTCAAATTTAATAAGGAGCCCCCCAAAACCCTATTCTAATTATTAAGGCCCCTACAGTACAGGACGGGTTTTACTTGGATGCTTGTATCGGCAGGCTTCGAAACGAGCTTTGCGAAGAGATTTGCAAGGGCTTCAAGGGCTTTATTATAGGGGCCCGTCTAATTACCCATACTATTTTGGGGGAGTTCCTGATGTTGAATATAGTATATTATACCACAAGACCCTCGAAAAGCTGAACTCCAACACGGACTCGGCTTAACAGTTTATGATGAGGCATAAGCCCTCTAGTTTCGTTTGCCCATACAGACATCTTGTCCGATCATACCCCAAAACCCGATTCTAACTATTCAGGCCCCTACACTATATATCGGCTTGACAAGGGATGGCCAAGGGTTGTGTAGGGCTTGGGTTTCACGTGACTCGTGGTTTAGGGTTTAGGGTTTAGGGGGTTTAGGGGGTTTAGGGGTTTAGGGGGTTTAGGGGTTTAGGGGGTTTAGGGTTTAGGGGGTTTCACGTTGGTGTGCTGATGCTGTGATTGCGCGCTTACATCTGGCTCTTACTTCACGACTGCACCTCTTTGAAGATCCGATACCCTAAATAAACCCTAAACCCTAGACCCTCAAAAAGAGGCGATCAAAAAACAAATCTAAATCCTAAACCTTAAAGTCCTTAATCGCCAATCTCCTGGTCCTTTCCTCAGCCCATGATTCCCCCATTCGTTAGTTTTCACTCATCTTTGGATGCTTCTGTCGCGATTGGAATATTTCTTATACCCTGGACCCCTTGAAAAGGAGCCCGAAACGCTAAACCCAAGACCTGAAGCCACCAAAACCCTAAAGCCTGAACCCTAAACCCTAAACCCCCTAAACCCTAAACCCAAGACCTGAAGCCGCGACACTACACCGAAGCCCTGCAGCCTGAAGCCTAAAATCCTGAAGCCCACAACTCGGCCCGGAAGCCCCGAAAGCCAAAAGCCTATGTATGGAATTCTGAGGCCTCTAACCATGGGGGTCGAAATAACTACCTGTACTATGTTTGGGGTTCCTTTTTTTTGAAAATCGCATAAACTACCCCAAGACCCTATTCTGATTATAAAGGCCCCTGTATTGGACCGAAAATGGGTGTTAGGGTCGTTGGGTCGGTTCTGAGCTGCGGTTGGCTTTTGGATTTAAAGGTTCAGGGTTTAGGGTTCTGCGGTTTAGGGTTCAGAGGACGATGTGTCTGCCTGAGGACTGCCAAGGCCCTGCGCGAGGAGTTGGATGCTGCTGGCTGAGTGCCTGAAGCCCTAAACCCTAATTCAAGTTTTTTTGCAACGTCGGAGGCTCGGCCCTTACTGGGTTCTTGTCAAGGAGCTTAGTTTAAGTAACCATAACAGGGTTTAGGGCTTAAAGATCTATCGTAAATAGTAGGGCTTCGTTATTGTGGTGACTTGAGTTAGCCCCTAATCCCTAAACCCTAACAACCCTAAACCCTAAACCCTAAACCCAAAACCCTAACTTGCGTTGGGTCCTCTTAGAAGAGCCCGGCTCAATTTGAGGATCCGGCTTGCCACTCCGATGTTCTGGGTCCCTGGAGCACGCGCTTGTCCCTCAACCCTAAACCCTAAACCCTGTAAGCCCTAAGCCCTAAAGCCTATGAGCCCTAAACCTTCTGAGCCCTAAACCCCAAACCCGAAACCCCAAGCCCTAAACCTTGTAAGCCCCAAACCCTATAAACCCCAAACCCTAAACCCTATAAACCCTAAACCCTAAGCCCTATAAACCCTAAACCCTATAATCCCTAAACCCTAAACCCGAAACCCCAAACCCTAAGCCTTATAAGCCCT